GGGATATTCATATTACTGATGTGCACCTGTGACGGCAAGCCACACATGGTAAGCTCCACACCTCACCGCCAGTTGATTCACTTTAGTTTACTTTGCAGTCACTACTTTAAATATATTCTATTTATTGTCCAATATTGTTTCTTTATTAAATGTATTTATTTTTTCATTTCACCTTCCAATGTTTGTATGGCATGCACACATATTATCACCGCAAGGTCAAAGTTCTGTTTTATGTTATATTAATACATCTGTCTTTGCTTGAGTTACCTGGGGTTTGGCTTCCCCTTCCTGGCTGGCAAAAGGTGTGGCAAAGGGCTGGGAGAGCTCAAGAATAGCTGACAGCCTAATTGGGTGAAACCAAATGATTCAAGTTTGTTTAATTGTTTTGGATTAGTTAATGTTATTGCAGCCATTTTCCCCCCTTGTGTGATATTTGATTTAGCTAAACCATTAATTAAGTTCCCTTGAACTTGAAATGTATGGCTGTACTTATTAGTATAGTCAGACTGTACTATACATACAGCATTATGAAAAAGTCTTGAGCCAACCCTTAGTAGTAGTAGTATCATTATTTTCTTGACATTTCTTTAAGTAGTCTTTAGGAATAGTTCTCCGGGCTTCTTAGAGGACATTCAAAGCTCTTCTTTGGATGTTTGTTGGCTTTTGTTCTGTTCTCTGTCAAGATGATCCCACACTGATTCAGTATACCGAGGTCTGAACTCTGGGGAGACCAATCCATGACTGATACTGTTCCATTGTGTGGTTTTCTAACACTGTATTGGCAGAAGAATTAAGCTGTTGCCAATCAGATGCTTTCTCAATGGTATTGCATGGTGGATAAAAATCTGATGGTACTTTTCTCTGTTCATTATTCCATCAATTTTAACAAGAACTCAGACACCAGTAGCTGAAATGGCCCCAAGCAAATTTTACTACTCAGACATGCAGCTACATGTTTGCAGTTTAACTGAGAAAAAAATATTTCATGTTTCTACAAGAGCGGATGCCGTTGAGCGTTCAGGAAGACTGTTAATGTCCTTGGGTGTGGACTAAAGTATGATCAACTAGTAACAAACAGAACTCATTTTACACTGCATGTTATTAGTAGCTGTTCTTTGATAACTTTAAAAAAACAAGAATTGGGTTCATAAGTTTGACTATAGTTTGGATTTTGTCTCATAGACAAAGGGTCAAAAGTATACTTGCACCCCCATTTTACATATCCTTAAGCAAGGCCACTTCAGAAGCCTAATGTTAGCCTGCTTTATCCTTTCATAAACCAGTGTTGATGTGTTTGGCATCATTGTCCTGTTGGAACACCCAACTGTGTCCACGTTCCAACCATATAGCTGTTGATCTGAGGTAAAGTTGAAGAATTTGAAGGTAGTCCACTGCCTTCATTATTTGATCCAATACCACTAGCAGCAAAACAGCCCCAGGAGCATGATGCTACCTCCACCATGATTGACAGTGGTACCGTGTTTTCTGTTTTGAAAGCCTCAGCTTTACTTCTCCAAACATAACTCTTGTCATTGTGGCTAAATAGCTCAATCTTTGTCTCGTCTGACCATTTGGCTTGCCCATGTGGGCAGCTGCAAATTTTAGTTGAGCTTATAGGTGTCACTTTTGGAAGGGGGCTTCATCCTTGGTCAGCACCCTCTCACTCTATAGTGATGTAAAACTTACTTCATTTTGGACGGTGATGCTGGTGTTGTAGCAGTTTCCAGTGCATGGCACGATTGAGCTTTGGTGGTTCCTGGGTTGTTCCTGAACATCCTAACCAGTTTCTTCTCATCTGAGGGTGAT